CACACACACACACACACACACACACACACACACACAGAGAGAGAGAGAGAGAGAGAGAGAGAGAGAGAGAGAGAGAGAGAGAGAGAGAGAGAGAGAGAGAGAGAGACCTATGATTTTTTCCTATAGATCAGAAATGCAGATTCACTCTTAATAAGAAACGTGCAACATGACAGAATCCAAGCAACACAAGAACTAACCATGTAAACTACATTTTTGGAATAAAGCATAACTACTCCCTCTGTTCCAATAAACATGCACTCTTTGCTTTTTAGTTTATCCGAAAAGAATGATACTTCCTTATATTTGGAAACATTTGAACTTTAAACTTCTCATTTTACTCTTAATGATATACAAGTTCCAAAGTCTTCCTTTTTTTCTTAAATTTCGTGCCTAGTCAAACACTGTCACATAAAATGAAACGGAGACAGTAAATCTTACCAGACTCTGCCAGTAATGGTATTCCTCAGTGAGCTTCTCCCTCCTCCAAGCATCCAAGTCAAAGAAGTTCATCCCATAAGCCCATGCACAAGCTTTGGGGTTGAACTTCTCCTTGATCAAAGGATGTGAGAAATTCATGTATTGTGCATAACGATGGAATGAACCAAAACATGTCTCCACAGCTCCATTCACCTTACCATCCATATCTATCTTCCATAAACCAGTCAAATCCTTCTGAACAACTATATCATCATCCAAGAACAATATTCTGTGCAACTTGGGGTACAGTTCTGGTAAATAGAATCTAATGTGGTTCAATATTGAGAGATACTTCGGGTTCCTGAATTTCATATTAGTTGTATCCTTTGTTGCATTCTCGAGCTTATTCTCGAAGTAAAACTGCTGTAGTTTTGCAGATTCAAGTTGTTTAAGTACTGGAACATAAGAAGAATTCAGGAACTTATAATCCTCGACCGACTTCACTTCAATAAAAGCCCCATTATAGTCTTTCATCTTGAACATAACTTGCATAGCCCCAAGATTCATTTTATCAGTCACCACATGAAACACATGCTTCGATGGGTCTTTTGAGTGTTTAACTGCCGAATTCACCACAACTGAAGCAGCAAGCACATTGTCAGAGAAAATTGCATAATGATAAAGATTAGGATCCTCGAATTCTGGTGGAGTAGGCTTCATATCATCGGTATACTTATCTGGATGTGCGATTCGCTCTTCCATTAGCTTCATTGCCAAACAGTGCACACTCTTTGGGATCGACTTTGCAGCAATCAAGCTCGAGAAAGCACCTTGCTTCTTCGCCTTCGTTAGCTGCTCATTGACAGCAAAAATTGTATCTTTCAGCTTCTGAATCTTTAATTGATTATCAAATGACTCTTTTGCCTCAGCAACAACTTGTCGGGTGACTTTAATCCGTTCCTTCACCTCTTTCTCAAACTGCCTGAGCACCGATTCGTTCATAGAGTTCCCGTCCGAGTCAAATAGTGTGCGGTATGAAGGTTTTGAAATCAGATCTGTAAAGTTCCTAGATAACTCAGCAAAAACTCGAACGAGCTTTGAGTTCTCGAGCTTCAGCTTCCGAGCATAGGAAGCATAAGCTAGAGCCAATGCACGGTGATCATCTGCTTGCTTCTTAATCTGATCAAGCCTCGGCTTCAGTGGATCGGATTTCAAAGCTAAAACTGATCTTCTTAGTGATCCACCTCTATATAAATCATGTGAATTTCCCTATTCAACCATAAAAACCAGGCCGTTAATACAAAATCGAAGTAAGCTACTGAGGGATAAAGAAAGATCTATGAAAAGTTATGCAATTAAGGCATATAAAACTCATAAATCGTAAAGACCTCTTTGAATCACTGACACGTAAGCACAGAAACATAATTTATGATTCATGAAATGATAATAAACAATTAAAGCTTTCTAGATTAAGATCTTAGTAACTTGAAAGAATATGCATACTTAATAAGAAAAAAATCACAAAATATCGAGTGTATAGTTTTGCTAAAGTTAAAGCTTCCAGATTGAGATCTTAGTGACTCACATCAATATTGAGTATTGAGTTTCACAACAAAAAAACACAATCAAGGTTTTCCGGATGAGATCTTAATAACATGATAAAATGTGCATACTTACGAAGAGAAACTTCACAAAAATATAAAGTAAACAGTTTCATCAAAGTATCAGAATAAAACATGTCCAGATTGAGATATTAGTGACTAGAGATGAAGTGACTACTTAATAAGAAAAAACAAATCAGAAAAATACAGAAACAAATACAATTGAAGCTTCCGGATTGAGATCTTAGAGACTTAATATGAAAATAAATTACAATTCCATTGAGTAAAGAGTTTCACAAGATAATCAATCAAAGGTTTCCAGATTGAGATCTTATTAACTTGATAAAATGTGCATATTTAGTGAGATAAAAGTAACAAAAATATTAAGTAATGAGTTTCATAAAAAAAAATCACATTGAATTATTAGTGACTAGAGAAATGTGACTACTCAATTAGAAAAAAAATACCAAAAAAATTACAGAATAAAGAGTTTCTCATGACCACCGACAGTTTCATAGGGTAACAGACAGCAAATAAATGCTCATAGATAAAGTGAGAAAGGAGAAATGTTGAGGAAAGTACTTACGACGGAGAGATCGGAGGGATCGGAGGAGGAAGTGAAGAGAAAAGAGAGAGCTAATAAAAGGAAAACAGCGACAGTGAGAAAAGAGGCGAAGAGCTTGAACGTGAGCCGAATTCCGGTGCCGGAAACGGCGATGCTACGATCGGAAAATGGAGTTCGGTAGGAGCTCCGGAGAGCCATTTTTCGTTGGAGTGAGAAATCTCAGAGAAGGATATCTGGGTTTCACTCTTTTGGAGTATTTATTTATTTAATTATTTATTTATTTATTTATTTATGTGTGTGATTATTTCACACTGGGGAGGAATGAAGAAATTGGAGAGAGGCAATTGGCGAGTGAAGAAGAAACGCGGATTTGACGGTGGAGTTTGGGTGTGGGTCCCGATCTGTTAAGCAATGTGGGTCCCGATCTCGATCTAGCTCTATTTATGACTTATGCAGTGTTTCATTAATCACTTAAATTACACACTGAAGGGTTTTGTAATTATTGGCATTGTGCTTTATTGCTTTTATTAATTTTATTGATAATACTAAGTTTTTGGAATTTAGTAATACTGAAAAAATAATGGAAGAATTAACATAAATAGTCGCTCACCCAATCACTTATATTAAAAATAACTATCAAATATATAATATAAATATAATCTACTTATAATATGTGTTTAAATAGATATGATGAGTGTATATCAATGTATAACAGTAGGAAAAGGGAGGCTATTTGTGTAAACATCTCAAAGTGGTTCTCAGGGCCGATGACAAAAATAGAAGGTCCAATATCTCCGTAGCTCAATCCATTGAGGCATTCATTGCACTTAAGTAGGTGTGTCTTGGTCATTTCCATATCCATAGTCCAAGTTATATAGTAACAAGTTTCGAGATATTATATACATATAGTCGATTGGAAGGAATTGTTACATAGATAGCCGGTCAAATTCACGGTTTACTTTTTCTAGCCAATATACATAAATTATATATTATTATATACAGTTATACATATATTATACATGAATTTTACATACATTAAACATCTGCCGGCTATTTTTAGTTTAAGAAATTAGATAGGTGGCTATTTGAGTTAAATTTTTTAGTCAGTATTTAAAAATTATACACTAATTATATATGCCTATACACATACTAAATATAAATTAATACATTTTCCGACTATTTAAATTAATTATTCTTTTTCTCCATCCCATCCATCCTAATACTGGACTGTTACTCTCTTCCTCTCTTTTGGCAGAAGGACAATAAACTGGTCTATGGGTATTAACTTACACTACAAACTTTTTCACATTAATTTCCATCCATTGTGATAACATTTTTGGTGTTTTCCGCTCAATATTTCACCTCAGTGTTTCCAAGAAATAGACTTTAATCTCAACTAGTTGATATTGTCTATTTGGATTGAAAGCTATAAGCAAGTTTGTAGCATGGGCAGTTCAACAACTCAGTGTAATCCTATAAGTGGGCTCTAGGGAGGATAGGATGTACGCCGCCTTTACCTGTATCCTCGAAGAGTAGAGAAACTGCTTCCGATAAACCCTTGGCTAGTATGGACAGTTCAAAATTGAAATTGACACAATACGCAAAGTGAACACTCTTATTTAGTTTACCTCAAAGGTCGAAGTTGCGGTTTAGGCATTACTCACTAAAGGTCAGTGGCGGACCCATGATTTTGTGCAAGCGGTTCAGGCAGAAAGTAAAGTCATCAACATTATTTTACAGTAAAAGCAACAAAGGCATGACAATAGAGTCTTTCCCTCTGCTCTTTATTTTGCTTCATGACCTTTTGTTCTGTTGAGCTCTTAAAAAAAATAAAAGAAAATAAAAGTGAACAACATATCTATTTACTTTTTCAAATCTGACAATTTATTGAACTTTTTTTTTTAATTTTACGTTACAAAATCAATTCAATCTATACCAAAACAATCAGCTCTATTTATTGATTAAATCTAACATATAAACAAGCGCTGAAATATTCATTATCATAAACAATTTATGAAAAAATAATAACAATAGAATAAAAATATTAACTGAAATAGAGTTATAATTTTAATAGTATCAGAATTCGAAACTATGAAAATTAGCTAAATTAAACAATAATTAAGAAAAAAAATTCGAACTCCGGACCTCACCTACTTCCTGAACCTGTTTGAACCAACTCGACCAACTATTGTTTCTGTCAAGCGAGTTCAATTTAATATACTTATCTGATATTGTGTTGTTTAAGAAAATATTTTTCACATATAAATAATGAATTCTTCTGCGAAGTGGGTTCAGATGAACCCGCTTGAATCAATGTGGGTCCGCCCCTGCTAAAGGTGCAATGCTAACAAAAATATCGAAACAACCACAACATTGTACAACTTCCAATTGAAAAATAAACTTTAGTCATTTCTGCAACTGCCAATGGATTCTTTGATCGAATGTCTAGTTTTGCTTCTATTTTGTTCTTTCCTTTGGTAAAGTTTGCATGGATTTCAAGAATTTTTTAGATCTTTTCTTTTAATTCTCCCTCATGTATTTCAGGTCTAGCATATTACCTTTTAACTCATTCAATCATCATGGTGTCAAGAACTTAAAGGAAATTTATTTCTCGTTTCAGGAAAAAAAATTGGAAGTATGATCTTGTATTAATTCGTGACTAATAAGATTATTAAATCAAGAAATCAGTAGTAAGACTAAGTTATTGGTATATAATGCGGCATTGCATCACTGCAAGTATAATGTTGACCTCCCCTTTCCCTCTCCCTAGATCCGGCCTTCCAAATTTTATTAATAAAGAAGCAAAACCGTTTTCTATTTACCAATAATCAATTTATGATATAAAAACAATAGAAATAACAGAGGGAGAAAAGGCAATTAAAAAATCTAAATATATAAATAAATACAAATAATAAATGGTTTAATTAGTTAAATTCTAAATAGGTGATCAATCAATAAGTCAAAACTACAACATTGACTATAAATAAATACTTCAAATAACAGTCTCTCATTTCCCTCTCTCTTTCTGCGTCTTAACATCACAACTATCCTCACCTAATTCATAAGAGCTTCAACCCCAGATTTATCAAGAAACGCAAGATGACCGATCAAGATAAACAAAAGACGGGCTCAGAATCTGAAAAAGAAGAAGAAGAAGAAGAAGAGAATTTATCTGAGAATTTCACAAGAAAACCAAACCTCTATAGCGAAGGTGTAATCCTGATTTTCCTTACTCATAATATGTGATTCCAATTTTCTTTTTACCATCATTTCTTGTTAAATTCTCCAACTTCCATCGTTAAAAATTAAAAAATTAAAAAACAGAGTGAAAGGAGAAGAGAAAGCTGCGGATTAGAGACTCAAAAGCCTATACCGTTCAAGAATGCTGACAGAGGGTAATTTCTTTCAAAAATTATGATTTGATTCTTTAAATGTATGGCCAGAACGTGAAAAAGTGGAGTTTATACATCTGTAAATTCTTTTTTTAGGAAGTTCAGAACGTGTACAAAATCTGAAGATAAAAAACTAATAGAACTTGGAAGGGCCCTTACCCCACTATGGGGAACAGTTGCAGGAGCGATGCATCGTGGAGCATCTGAATGTATGGAGCGTTATAATATGCTTAAGAAGTTTGAAAAAAATAAAATGAATAAAATAAAATATCTTCAGACTGAGGTGCGGATATCTCGTTCTCTTTAAGGAGATTCAAGCCCACTGCAACAAAGTTTTTCACTGGTCCAGCAGTAATTCTCTTGACCTGTCTCCCCCAGGATACAACAGCCCGATCACGTCGTATGTCTCGAACAAACTCTGGACAAGTTGTTGAGTCCAAAGCTCCACCAAGATGAACACCTTCCTTCAACAAAAGTAAAAAAAAGATCTCTTCTTCTTTTTTCACAACTTTAACCTCACTTTATAGAAACACTCTACAATTATTTTTTCATACCACAATATGGAAGAAAGACTCATATTTATAGGTGTAGGAATTCTTCCTTGAATTAAATTGGAAGAAAGTGGGGTAATAAGTTATGATATCATGGAGAACATGGGATAATTAGTGGTAGAACATGGGAGAAGAGTTA